AAGATGGAACAACGACAATAATTTATTCAATAATAATAATATTAATACTTCTTAATTAAAAGTAATTGTTAATAGAATTATGAAAGAAAAAAGAAAACTTACCCTCCACCACCACATGTACTAGCACAACCACAAGATGGTTTGGCTGGTGGACAGCAGCATCCACCACCACCAGCACCAAAACAACTATAAACTGGATCTATTAGTGCTCCAATTAATAAAGCCGCTAGCAACTGTAGCTGTAAACATGATCGTACAAGTGAAGATGAAAGATAGAATGAAGAAGTAAAGTGATCACACAATCACTAATAATTACTGTTTTCATTTTAAAAATTTTCAAATCTCAATTCGAAATTTTCAGCAAAAAAAAAAACGGATCGTAAATGTAATCGATAAAATTTAAATATAATTTATTTCAAATAAGTGAAATTTTCATTTAATTATGAGTGCAAAAATTAGAATTCTATTCATCACATTTAATTTAAAAAAAAAAAGTATCTAAAATGTATTTATTCATCTGATTGCTTCATCTTTCCTTTTATACAATTTAAAATTTCAATTTTTTCAAAAAATTAACATTTCAAAAAACAAAAAAAAGTGGAAATAGGGAGGACAGAAAAAAAAAATAGTACTTACCGCTTGCATCCTTGTAAATCTTTGCTAAATTATACAAGAAATTTAGCCGTGTGGCTAAAAAAAAATATTGAAGAATACAAGGCGTAAAATAACAACTGAAAAAAAAAAAACGTGAAATACGCGTAGTTATTAACAGGAATTGAAATAACACCACTGTTTATGCCAGCTATTTGAAGTAAATGATGCTAAAACAGTAAATATGTAAATAATACGAATAACAAAAATAATCATCCCCGTAAGAATGGTAAATCTCAATACTAATTTGAGCTGTAGTCGTTTCTTTAAGTACCCGCGATTCGATACACCCTAATCTTGAAGACATGCAGATATACATCCATGGTACACACCTTCTTTCCCCTCTCCTCCCCCGCTCTTCCTTTTTTTTTTCCTTCCTCTCCCACCTCCTCTTACCTTTACTAAAGCCTGTATATCCATGCATATATTACACACACATGCACACACATATGCACACACGCATAAACAAACACACACACCTATACATTCTTAGTTATTCTGTATATTTTCATACATCCATACTCACCCAGCAAGTTTCAGTCATTATTTTATTCGGTTTACAAGTCATTCTACCGAAAAAACGCCTTCGGCATTTTTTTTATCCGTTATTGCTCTTCTGCTATGAACTTCTACTATTACTACCATTATCACTTGTTGTTTATTATTTATCGTTACAATATTGTTGAAATTATTATTATCGTTACAATTACAATAATAACTATTATTATTAGTCACTATTATAATAATTATAATATTTAGAAATCACTTTTATTATTATTGCCATCATCATTATTATTAATGTTATTGTCATTATAATCATTGTTAGCATCATTATCATCATTGCTATTGTTACCCT